GTTCTCTTTTAAGGTTATGACTAATAAGTAATCCAATTTTATTATCATAACGTTGTTGTATTTCATTAATTTCTTTCATAGCAAAATAAGACTTTTTGCATTTTCTTCCTGTCTTGTCATTCATTCTTCATCTTTTCCAGTCAACTTTTCATTATCAGAAATATAATTTAATAAAATTATAACAAAACTATATCTTCAATTTCATTAAATCTAAAAAACCCTAAAAGAATAACTTGAATAACAAAATAAACATAATATGACTAAAGGAACCAGTTGCAGAGGTACTAGACATAATAAAACTCATATTCTTTGCAAGAGATGCGGAAAAAGATCATGGCATTTACAAAAACAAAGATGTGCTTCATGTGGATATCCAGATGCTAAAATGAGACAATATGCTTGGGGATACAAAGCCCTTAGAAGAAGAACCCAAGGAACTGGAAGAATGAGACATTTAAAAATCGCTTTAAAAAGAACAACTAAAGCTTAATTAATTAAAATGATAATGATTTTTTTTATAACATTTTTTTAAGTTATTTTGTTTTTTAATAAAAAAAATTAAAAGTTATTTTTTTAAAAAGAAAAACAGAAGTTAATATAAATAATTGAATTTTGTTAATGAAAGTTTAAACAACAGGAAGTCGTTGAATTATTTTTATGATGCAGTAATACAAGTAATACTTTTAAAAAATGAAGTATGAATTTGGTAGTTATAAAAAAGTAAATTAATATACTTTTCAAAAAGAATAATGATAATAAAAAAGAATAAAAATAATAAAAGTATTGAACAAGGGTTAAAAGATCTTAGTAATTTATTCCTTAAATAGAGATGATTTATTTATAAAATTAAAATAAAAAGTTCTTCGATTTTTGTTGATTTAATTTATTTAATAACAAAATATTTTGGTAGTTAGTAATATAAAAATAATAAATGAAATAATTTTTATTTCTTATAATAAAAATTCTAATATTTTAGTAAATCATTTTTTTTTAGTATAGAAGGAAATGATTCAAACTGCTATTCTTGTTTAATAATGATTAGTGATTTTTAATATCCGTTTAGTTGACTTGTTAAATGTAGTCATTATTTATAAAATATTCAGGACAACTTTTTTCCTATTTATTATGTATTTGAAGTATAACTCAGGATTTGTTTTTCGATTATTTGAGTTAATGAAGAAATTTATAATTTTCAACTCAAACAAAACAACCTTCAAAGTTTTATGTATCAATAATAATGTTATAGATAACGGAAATAAAGAGAAGAAATAATAAAAGTTGGTATAAATTTTCGGTGAACTAAAAAGGTAGTTTATTCTTAACATGGAAGAAGGAATGTGTCGTGTAGAAACATTAATCAACAATACTATGAAAAGAATTGTTGATTATGAAGAACAAAGAAAAGAGACTGAATTAATGAAAACATATGAATTAATGAAATATGAACCATTCGATAAAGAAGATGAACATAATAAGAATTTAGTAATTGAGATACTACGTCAAAGTATCAATAGAAATGATATGAGTCTTGGGAAGTTAAAGAAATGGAAGGACTTAACTATTGAACTTTTTAAGAAAATTGAACGAATTGAAAAAGAAGAGAATGAAAGAAAAGAAGAAAATAAAATATCAATGACAAAAGTATTGGATTCTAAGAATAGTCATCATGAACCTATTATTAAAAGAAGATGTTCTTTTATTAAACGAGTTAGCTCACCACGATCTCTTATTAAAGTAAAAGAATTAAATAAAAAAAGACAAAGCAACCGTTTTGAAGAAGTTAATAGTCAACCAATAGACCATCATTTGGTATTTTTTAATGATGAAATAGCAAAATCAATTGCATTAAAACGAAGAAGTACTGGACAAATGGGAATAAATAATCAAATTACAAATATTTCAACAGAACTTCTTTTAAATGAAGAAAAAAATAAAAAAAAAGAAGGGGGTTTTAATGAAAGTATTAATGAAGAAATAACAGTTCAAATGATTACAACTTCTCCAAATGATTTAGAAATAATTGAAAATACAATGAAGAATTGGATTCCTAATGTTAATAGAATGAATTGTATTATTGATGATGATATTAATGAAAAATGGGATAAAAATATTTGTGAAAAAGTTCAACAATTACAAAAGCTTTATATTCTTTTTATTGATATTCATCAATTTTGTATTGGATTCTATTTTTCTATTCAATCAATTAAAGAATGGGAATGGACATCTGTTGGACAAAATTCTTTTGCTTTTATGAGTCAAAGCCCAAATACAATTTATCAATGTCCAAGAAAAGAAAATACTTCTTTGTCTGTTTGTTTTTATAATCATTATGGCTCAATTATTTCTATTGGATCTCCATATAAACCAATTCATTTTAACAAGTCAAATCATTTATCAGTATTATCTTATTTCAATGACTATTTTTCATGTCCAACTTCATTAATTACTTCTTCTTTACAATTAAAAAGAATGTTAGTTTATTCAATAAATTAATTAACTTATTGTATTTTATAGTTTTAAAAAGTTATTCAATTATTACTATTCCATCTTCAAAACCTCTAAGACTTTTTAATTGTTCTTCATCTTTTTCTTGAAATGTTCTATTACTTCTTGGATGTTGAACTCCTTTTAAAAGTGCTTTTTTGTCAATAATTAAATCGTTACCTCTTCTTGATAAATAAGGATGTTTAATATAACGCACTTCAATTGTTTTTTCACCCCAATTAAATGTTTCTCTATCTTTAACTCCTGAACATAAATCAACAATAATAATTTCCTCATTGTCTTCAGAGTCATATAATGGTACTAATTTATGACATCCATTCATTGCTTCTTCAATAGAAATGTATAACTTATACACTGGTTCAGGTTTTAAATCTTCAGTTTTAGACTTATGATGAATAGGAGTATCAACTCTATTGTTTGTTGGACTCGAGAAACTATCTTGTTGATATGTCATAGTAGAAGACGTTTCATAACATTTTTGGGAACAAATATTATTATTAGGAGATTGTGTAATTTTTGTTTGTCTTTCTTGGTTTGGATTAATGTTATTCTGAATTTTCTGTGTTAAACTTACCATAGTATTACACTTCTCTAGAATACTATCTGTATTCTGTATTATTTGTAACATTTTATCAATTAGTTTTAGAATGAACTCTATTAAATCAAATACCTTAGTCATAAAATTGTTGATTTTCTCTTTATCATTAGAATTAATTACTTCTTTATATGAGTCTTTCAACAATTGTTTAATTTGATTGAAGTCCAATATTTTATTTTGAGAAGAAGTTCTTTTATAATTTGTAAAATCATTTCTAGACTTGCAAAAATAGTTGTAAAAAAACATGAAGAGCAAAGTAAGAACAACACCAATTAAAATACCTGCACAACAAACACCTATATTGATAAGTAGTTCAGCGTTCATTTATTAATTTATTTTGAAGTTCCTTTTATTTTTTTTAATTTATTTAAAATAAACATCATTTAAATAAAAAAATAATTAATTTGGCATTAAAACAACTTTTTGAGTTTTTGAATTTAATTTAACTTTCAATTTAGAACTAGAAAGAGATGACAACTCATTTGTATTTATTTCTTTTTTTTTGTCAAATTCATGAGAAAGTATTTCATTTTTTGATATATTCTAATTATTTATTTATTAAATTAATATAATAATTTTATGAAAAAGAACAAACAATACAATCTACCCATTTTTTTGCTAATTCAGTAGATGGAGCAATAAATTCAATTATTGATTGATGATTTGGAAAAGAATATTTAATTGCAAATTGATTTGGTTTTGCTATTTATTTCATTATATTTTTCATTAAAAAGTAATGAAATTGTTTACAAACTTTTATGTAATGCAATCATTTTGATGTCAATTATAAAAAATATTTGTTGATCAGTTTTTTCATTACTTTGTGATGAAAAGATATTGTCTATTAATTTCCATTGTTGTGGTTTGCTAAATGTAAATGAATTACTTGTATTTCTGTATTGTAATATTCCTTCCATTTTTCTTATCTTACTTTACACAAACTTTTGAAGTTTTTTTCTCTAAAATAAAAAAAAAAAAGAAAAAAAAGAGAAAGTCTTAAATTTTGTGTTAAGACGTGGAACTAATATACACTAAACTTACGTTTATTTCAGTGTTTCTTAATAAAGTTGGAACTAATAAATCTAAACCAAATAATGTTTACATTCATTGTTGGTATTGTAGTAATAATTGTTATTTTGTATTACATTTATATGTATTGCCGAGGAGGGGTAAATATTAATTTTCCAGATCTTACTGATAAAGTAGTTGTAGTAACAGGAACAAATAGAGGAATTGGATATGAAACAATTAGAGCATTAGCCAAGTTAAATGCTACAATTATATGTTGTTGTAGACATGAAGAAGCACAAATTCGAGTAAATATGATTATTGGTAAAGAAACAAAAAATAATAAATTAGAATTTGTTAAATGTGATTTAATGGACTTAAACTGTGTTAAGAAAGCAGCACAATATATCATTGATAAATATCATAAAGTTGATATTCTTATTACTAATGCTGGTATTATGTGTTGTCCTTATACTCTTTCAAAGCAAAATATTGAATGTCAAATGGCTACAAATCATATTGCACATGCTGCTTTCATTAATTATTTAATTCCTGCATTAAAAGAATCAGAAAAACCAAGAGTTGTTGCTGTTTCTTCATTAGCACATTTATTTACAACTAATAAATCAATTGACCTTATTGGTAAAAAAGAAGATTATCAACGTGCTTTTAGATATTTTGAATCTAAATTAGCTGTTGGAATGTTTATTCATCAATTTGCTAAAGAACATCCAGATATTATTGCTGTTCATGTTCATCCTGGACTTGTTTATTCTAATCTCTGGAGATATTGGTGTCCATGGTTAATGTGGTTTGTTTCACCATTCTTTAAGATTTTCTGGAAAACACCAGAAGAAGCATGCCAAACTACTCTTCACTGTGCACTTGCTGATGATATCCAAACAGGAGCATATTATTCAGATTGCAAAATTGCTAAACATAATCCAATTATTGACGATGGTATTCTTTGTCAAAAGTTGTACAAAGAAACTCTTGATTTGATTGAGTCTAACACTCAATAATTGAAAATTTTATTTCTTTTTTATTTTTTCTAATTGACTCCATTAATAAATTAAATTAGAATAACTGGACTAAATGACCAAGAACTTCAACTCCTTTGTTGATTGCTTTTACTGGAACAAATTCTCTTCTTGAATGAAAATTCATTCCTCCTGCAAACATATTAATACATGGAAGTCCTTTTTCACTTAAATGTGAACAATCAGCACCACCTCTCATATATTGTTTTTTTGCTTCAACTCCAGATAATTTCATTGCTTCAATTAATTTATCTACAAGAAGATTATCTGGAAGATAACGTTTCATGTTACGATACTGTTCAGTAAACTTTAAATCAAATGATGATTTTGTATATCTTCTTTTTAAGAAGGAAATTTGATCTTTCATTAACTGAATAAAGAATTCCATCTCATTAATTTTGAATGACCTTACTATGAAACGCGCATGTGCTTTTATTACAGACCCACTCATTTCAGTACAAAGAATATATCCTTCATCTTCTTTTGTTGTTTCAGGTCGTTTACTAATTGGTAAACTAGTATAGAATTGAGATAAAATAAACCCAGCATCTTCCATTATATTATAAGCTTCTCCTGGATGAACTTCATATCCATTAATAGTTAATTCAGCTCCAAATGCATTAAACCCTTCATCGTTATAAGTTCCTAATTCATCTCCATCAACAGAATAAGCATAGTCAAGATGAAGGTCTTCAATACAAACATGATCACAACTCTCTCCTATTTCTTCATCGGGTGTAAAAATAACCATTATTCTTGGATGTGGAATATTATCTTTCATAATTTTATTGAGTGTTCCCATTAAAATAGCAACACCTGATTTATCATCAGCACCTAATAATGTATCTCCTGATGATGTAATAATTTCATCTCCTCCATATTTTTTAATGTCCTCTTTACTAATAACTGTTCCAGATGGTAAAACTAAGTCAGAAGTAACTTCAGTTGGTAATTGATGAATTATTGGTTTAACACCTTCTCCAGAAGCTTCTGGAGAAGTGTCAATATGTGCAAAGAATCCAATTGATTTTTTAGAACCATTTGTTGCAGGTAGTTCAGCTTTTAAAATACAATTTTTTTCATCAAAAGTAAAAGGAACATTTAATTCCTTTAAGTCTTTTTGGAGTTGTTTTTGCATGTCAAATTGACATTGGGTTGAAGGGGTGACATGAGTTGATTCATTACTTTGACTATTTATGGTAACATATTTAAGAAATTTTTGAACTGCATAAGAGTCAGTCATTTTTGAAATAATAAAAATTAGACTTTTTAAGTTCTTATATATTTATTTGTTTTTTAATCTTCTCATTATCTTTTCTTGTCAAAAAAAGTAATGTGGAATTTAAAAAAAATAAACAAAAATAAAAATTTTGTTATTACAAATAATGTTTTATAAAGAAAAAAGATAATTCAAAGTTGAAACTAATTGATAAGAAATCTATTTTTAAATTAATGAAATTAATCAAAAAATACGAGAAGAAAAGAAGAAAAAGATTTTTATGTAACTTTGTTAATGTATCACAAAAAACAAAGAAATACAAACAGAAAATAACCCTAAAACGGTGGTTCATGAAAAATGAGAAAGAGAAAGAATCAAGGGAAATACAAATTGTATATATTCCATAAGAAAATTGAAGTATTTTTTGAAAAGACCTTTCACAGAAAATAAAAACAGGAAAATTTATAAAAAAGAAAAAATAAAATTTGTAGATCTTTTATCAAAATTGAAAATGACTGAGCAAAGACACATGTGTATTGCAACAACGATGTGTCCTAAATGTCGAGAGTTATTATGTGAAGAATGTTTAATGAAAGGAATAAAAGAAAATGGATGTTGTTATAAATGTAAGCAACCACTTACATTAGAAGAGATTAAATTAAAAAGAAGAGGATCTACTATGATTCATACTACAGACTTTAGTAATTCAGATAAACTTCCACCATTAAGTGCTAAAATTGGGAATATACCAAAAGTTTCATCTGCTATTTCACCATTATTATCACCAGGAAGAAGTTTATCATTTAGTTCTAATGATTCATCATTAGCAGCAAGTGAAGATTCATTTTTATTAGAATATAAAAGTTCTGAAAAGAAAACAAATTCATCAATTCCAAGTTCAAGTTATGGTGAAAGTGTTGAAAGTCAAAATTCAACAGGTAAAAGTTCATGGTTTGAAAATGAAAAAGATTATAGTCCTCATAGTAATGCAAATATGTTTGATTTACCTACAACAGATGAATATATTACTTTTACTAAAGAAAGTGGTAGTAATGCAAAAATAATTCAATATGCAACATTAGAAAAATGTCTTCAATTTATTACATCAAAAAATTGTGAAGATAGTTATTTTACACAATGTTTTGTTTATTCATTTAAATTAATAACAACAACTACAAAATTATTAAAATTATTAATTATTTTATTTAGTCCAAATAAACCAATTGATATGTTATGGAATGATTTTATTCAAAATATTATTATTCCAACACGTACACGTATATTAGCATTAGTAAAAATGTTAATTCAAGTTTTTCCAAATGACTTTAAAGAAGAACAAAATCAAGAAGCAATTAATGATCTTATTCAACTTTATACAACATATAACAAATCAATGGGTTTAAATTTACAAAAATCATTTGACAATAGATTTGGTCTTAAAATGGAATGTGTTATTTTAAAGAGAAATGTTCCTCTTCTTCCGGTAGATGATAAATTTAGTGGAATTCTTTGTATTTCACCATTGGATTTTGCAGAACAAATGACTTTAATTCAAATGGAATCATTTGTTGCAATTCCTTCTGATGAATTTTTAAATCAAGGATGGACAAAAAAGAATAAAGAACAATTAACACCACATATTGTTAATATGATTAAATTATCTAATAAATTAATTCATATTGTTCAAACAGAAATTGTTATGCAACCAACATATGCATTAAGAAGTCTTGCATTATTTTATTTTATTACAGCAGCAGAAACAATGAGAACAATTCAAAATTTTGATGGAATGAAAGCAATTGTTACTGCATTACAATCTGTTTCAGTATTTAGACTTAAAGTATCATGGGAAATGCTTCAACAAAGTACAAAAAGTATATTTACAAATTTAGTTCATATCTGTTCAGAAGATAATAATTTTACTGAATTAAGAAAAATAATGAATATTGCAATACCACCAACAATTCCATTTATTGGAAGTACATTAACTGATTTAATTTATACAAGTGATGGTAATAAAGCATCAACAAATAATAAATTTAATTTTTATAAATTACGTGGAATTGGTAATTTAATTAAAGAAATTCAAATGAAACAAAAAACTTCATTTTCATTTAATATTGCACCAAATGTAAGAGATTTTATCAATTCAATTCAAGTAATTTCTAATGAAGACCAATTATTTAATTTATCTCAAAAACATGAACCAAAAGTTACTGAAAAATTTATAGATTTAACAAAAAAACCTTATAAACATGATGCTAAAGAAGCTAAAGAACTTCTTAAATCATATCTTAAACGAATAAAACAATTAAGATAGTTCTTTTATTTGTTCTTGTACTCACTGTAATGTTCACTCCTGATTTAATTTAATTAAAATATCCTTCTTTTTTATTTATTTTTATTGTATTAAAATGAATAATTACAGAAAGGCATTCTGTTATAAAATTAAGACATATTGAAGAAGGTTCAATAGTTATTTGTTAATGTTCTTTAATATCTATTTATGTATTTGTTTATTATTTAGTCTCATTTTCTTCTTTCATACTTCCTGTTATTTGAAAGTTAAAAATGTTGTTCTAAAAATAAAACTCATTTCTATTTTTATTATTTTTGTCAGTTATATCATAAATGAATAATATTATTTATTAATCAAAAGGTTATATTACTAGGCAGTGAATGTTCAACAATTTTTGTTGGTTGATTAATTGAAATTTCATGGGTTAACTAAAAAAAATATATATTTGTTCAACAGTTTTTTACACTCGAAACAATTTTTTAATATCAATTTCTAAATTTGGAATGTGTTTTAGTAACGATCGTTTGATTAAACAAAAGAGAAAAAAAATAATCAAAAAACGACTAGATAGTTTAAAAATACATCAAAGTTGAAGGAAGTTAATAAATAGTGAATGATTTATACTACCTAAAATAGTCCAATAAACTGTTATGGCATGAACTTAATTTTTCTTAATTTACACTAATAAATGCCTGGTCATGATGACTATCGTGCTTATATTAATGAAGATAAAAAACAAATGAAAATTAATAAACAAAAAGAAAGAACAAGACTAATTAAAAATGAAGAGGCATCTCTTTTTGCTTTTTGTGTTGCATTATTATCTAAATATTTTAGAATTGAAATTGGACTTCCGCATACTCATTCAACAAAAACAGTTCAATTTGCAAATATCAAAAAATTATATTATGAAAATGATTATCTCAATGTAGAAGATTTTGTCGTTAATAAATTACAAGAACTTGCAGCACTAGATAGAAAAGACAATATTCCTGAATCAACTATATCAAGAAGAGTCCAAGAAAGACGTAGAAAAATAATGAAAGAACTTTTAGAAGATTTATTATTTGAATATGGTATTATTGTTATCGATAGTACTAATAGAGTTACTAACATTAATAGAACAAGTATTTGTACATATAAACTTAAACAATTTAACCATGAACATGTCATGGTAAATGGAAGAAAAATTGCTGAAATGATAGAAGAAAAAGTTAATAAAGAAAGAAATTGTTTTTTTGAAAAGAATGATTTTGATCATTTTCCTGTACAAATACGATACTAATATCTATAGATTTTGAATTGATACAATCGAGAATGTCAACAACTAAAGTGTGATACAATTTTATATTTTTATTTAATTTTAGTGTAAATTAAAAAATGTTAAAAATCCAAGAATAGAGAATAACAAATTTTTTTTCAAAAAAAAAGAGATTTGTTTTAGTTAAAAAAAAAACCCCATTTTCTAAAAATTAATAAAAAAAAAACTTAAAAAAAATTAATAAAAATTAAAGAAATGAGTGATTATCTCTTAGCAAATTATAGTCATGAATATGAAAATGAATTTATGTATTTAATGATAGAAACAAGTATGGGAACAAAATTTGATAATAATGATAAATTACCTAAATGTCTTGTTATGGTTGGTGGAAAACCTATTATTCAATGGCAATTAGAAGTGCTTGAGAAACTAAATGTTAAAGAATTAGAAATTGTAGTTGGAACATCTGTTGTTGCTCTTGTTCAGTCAACCATTGGAACAATTAAAACAACAATTAATATCCATTATTATCCAATTGATGATATTGAATTTTTACACAATGGAGTTGCATTAAAGAAGTTTAGAGAAGATAATAGAGAGAAGTTAATGAAATATAGAGATGTAATAGTTATTGGAACTGACTTATTATTTGATACCACCACATTTACAAATTTTATTAACCAACATAGAATTGAAAGTAGTTATCTTACGTTACTTACCACTGAAGAAAAAAGACCTAAATTAAAGAAAGGAGAAGAATTTGACGAACAACGTCCAAAAGATTTATTAATTCTTAATGAACAAAAAAGAATTTTTGGAATGGTTTATGGTAATTGTTCTGATAAAATTGGTATTCCTTATGATGTTCTTGATAGATACCCTTCTCTTTCTATAGTTGATGAAATCCAAACATTAAGAACATTTATTGTTAAAAGTACTGTCCTTGCACGAATGCCATATAGTGATAAATTAACTTCTATTCATAAAGATGTTCTTCCTCATATTATTAAATTATTACGTGGTAAATTTGGTCAAGACATTCACGAAAAAACTTTAAATGATTTATTTAATCATATCCCCTCTTCATTTGAACCACCTTGTATTTATGTTCTTCAAAAGACTGGAATGACTTTTAGAATATCTCAACAAGCTCAAATTAAAAAAGTTGAAGGAATGGTTAAGTCTCAAAAATTAAAGCTTTTTTGAGTGAATTGAGTGACATTTAATTTGTGTTATTTTTAATAAGAAAAAAAAAAATAAAGAAAATTTTTGAAAAAATAAAAATTTAAATAATTTAATGTTAATAAAATTATCATTTATTCATTAATTAATAGATATAATTCACTTCATACTTTATTAAAATAACTAATTTCTTTGTTTTATTTATTATTTATTTTTTCTTCTTGTTTTGTTTGAATAAATCATTCTTCTTTCTGTTTATTTCTTTTTTTTATCTTCTTTGATTGTTATTTTATTTTTAAATAACTTCTTCTTTCTTTATTTTCTTATTTTATGATTGAATGAATATTTC